TAGCACAGTTGGATTATGGGGGAAGATATATTAGAAGGGCTGCTCAAGGAAAACCAAACACTGTGTAACATCATTGTTCCTCAGTAAGAGTGAATCCACATCTTGCTCTGGGTGTATTTTGATAGTTTCATATTCCTAGGAAACAGAACCTGTGGAAATGCTGTCCCTGAAATCTGAATCTTGCTTTTTTTTGTATATGTTGGCATTAAATTAAGATATACAAATATTATAAGAGTAATCAACCAATTTTTGATTGACTCTAGAGTGCACTCCATTAGATGGAATCTAAATACCTGACACTGCTGAAGTAAGAACCTGAGACTAAATAGTTCCTGGGCTTAGGGGAAACCTTATTATTGGAGTAAGGAAATAAAGCAGTACAATGACTCCCAATGGCATACTGCCTCTCCCAACCCACATCAGAGAAGCTTCTGCTAGAAGTAGATGGAAATTAACACATAGACACAAAACTGGACAATGTGAAGCAAGTAAAAGACATTGGAACACTCAGTTCTAAATGAGAGGTCTTCATTAAACCTTCCCTGGAGCCTCAGGGATCTATGTGGAAGAAAAGGTATAAAGACTGGAAGAGTCACAAGTGATGAATGACTCCAAGGAAACAGTGTCTTTCAAACACAGCATAACTGGTGTACAAACGAACTAACAGAGACTATAGCAGCATGCACAAGATCTGCACAGGTTCAAGCAAGACAGGTTGCCAGCATTGTGAGGGGGAAGTGGACGTTGGGCCTCACCCCTAATCAAGAGGCTATGTTATTCTATTATTTTGTTAAAATAATTTCTGTGCCTTCAACTTGGGTTTCTTCTCCTTCCTCCATGTCTACTGTTCATAGTCTTTTCATGTGTCCCAAGTTTCCTGTATATCTTGTGCCTGGATATTTTTAGATTTAATATATTTTTTTTGGTGAGCTTTCCACTTCTCCATTGTCCTCAATATCTAAAATTCTCTCTTCCATGTCTTGTAATCTGTTAGTAAGGCTTACTTCTGAGACTTTTGTTGAATTCCTAGATTTTTCATTTCAAGTTTTAATTCATTTTGGGTTTTTGTTGGTGATTCTATTTCCACTTTCATACATTAAGTTGTTTTCAATATTTTATTCAACTATTTGAGGCATTTTATTCACTTCCTCCTTAAGGTCTTTGAACATGTTTATAATTGATAGTTTGAAGTCCTGGTCTTGTGCCTCAGCCACCTCGGTCAAATTGCTTGTCATAGGGATTATTGCAGTAAGATTGTTGGCTTCTGAAGAAGGCACACTGTCTTGGTTGTTCATATTTGTGTTTTGTGTTGTAATTTAGGCATCTGGAGCTTTGATGTTTGTGGTTTTCTTGATGTAGTTACCTGGTCTCATCTTTGGTGGGTGTGCTCCAATCAGACAGTTGTGGACCAGAAGAATGATGCTTGCTTCTCAGTCTTTGAGTTTCACTGGGTTTTAGGATTCAGCCCCCAGCTATTACCAGGTCTGGAATTATAGTTGGAACTCTGGGTTTCAACTCCAAGCAGGCTCAGATTGGTTCAGAAGTTTGGTTGAGTGATAGGCTAGTAGGCAAGTGAAGGATTCTGAGTCTGAAATTCTCTTAAGCAGAATTTGGAGTACTTCTCCAGGAAATGTGACAAAGATACCTTGTTTCTGACTATGGACAGCAGTGAGTCTGAAGTGAATGGAGGTGGGCTAGGAGGAAAGGCTAAGCGGGCATGCAGAAGCAGGTCTAAGAGGACTCGAGAGACCAGGACAGTGGAAGGGTAGAGGGCACAGGTAGTCTACCTGGGTCACAGCCAAGTATAGTGGCTGTGATGTCCTTGATAGAGAAGTGATTCTTCAGAATAGGCAGGGAGTCACAAAGGAACGAAGATGGGCTTGAAGAAGTGGCTGAAGTGGGTAGCAAGGAAGAACTAGGACAGTTGTTCTCATTCTGAGGGTTGTGACCACCAGAATATACATATTTATGGTGGACTTAGAAACTGAAAGGTCACACAATAGCAAAATTACAGTTATGAAGTAGCAATAGAAATATGTGCTTTCTTACAGGATGAGAATAGTTGAAATAGGGGACCCTAGGCCCACACCAAAAGGCTAACTCCCATGTGAATGGGGGTGAGCTGTGATAGAACTTGGATCTTACTGAATCTTTCAATGGAAATCCCCTGGCTTGGCATGTCTGCACACCTTACCCATTAAACATGCTATTGGGTCTGAGGTCTTCTTCTAGCCCACATTGCCTTGCATAGGAACTTATAGACATAATACATAGTGATGATACCTAGCCAAGAACAATAAAACTCTTTGTGGAGCTTCAGTCAAGCAAAAACAGATATCTCACAGGTTCTGTTAAGAGTTCCATTCTTCATTCCTCCCTGTGCTTGCTTCTTGTGTGCACTATTATCAGCTACAGGAGGTAACCAAGGTCATGTGCTAATATCAGGTCTTCCTTCATTGGCCTCTTAACATCACTTTGTACCTTCCACAACAGATTCAGTTCTGTTTTTCCTACCTATCCCGCTGCACAGACATTCACATGGGCATGTGTCTATGTAGTCAATGTCCACAGGACTCAGCTGCTCAGGCAGTGCCTGCCTCAGCTATCAATGCTCTAGATCAGGCTACCCCTACCTCTTACCAAGTTCCTTCCTCAGACTCCTTTTAGTCACTCATTACACAAGGAAATGCTAAGAAATACTGCTTGAGGGTCCATTGCTGTTTATTTTAAAATTTAAGAAAATTAAATCAATATTTCCATTTGCTGGTTACAAAAATAACACAAATAAGAAAATTGCTACCCAAGTTCAATAGGAGAAATACTAAAATAATTAGTGAATTTACTATAAAACTGAGTTTTATTGATTTTGATTTTTTTCTGCTATAATTATTAGAATTTGTGGATAGTGCATCAGTTCCTTGCCTAATGTTCTGCCCTAACATGGAATTGCCACTTCTCCATTATGATTTTTAAGTCTGTGTTTGTCAATTTTCTCTGTCAATTTTAGGAGTTCCTTTAGTGAGTGTAAGTCTTGCCTTTATGCAATAAATTCTCATCTTCTGGGAGTCTCTCATTTCTTCCCTGAGAGCACATTTAAACAAATATATATATATGTAATTTTATATATTTCTGTAAATTGTGTAATTTTTCTTATTTGTTATACTGAGCACTCCTCTCTCTCTCTCTCTCTCTCTCTCTCTCTCTCTCTCTCTCTCTCTCTCTCTCTCGTTTGTCCAGACAGGGTTTCTCTGTGTAGCTCTGGCTGTCCTGGAACTCACTCTGTAGATCAGTCGGGATTTGAACTCAAAGAGATCCACCTGCCTCTGCCTTCCTGAGTGCTACGATCAAAGGCATGTACCACCACTACCTGGCATATTTTTGCCTCTTAAATTGTTATTAGCTGTTGTCATCATATAAAGGAATAGGCTTCATTTTCATACAAGAACATCATTTATTTTGATCATTTTTACAACATCCCTTATTATTGTACTTTAGTATTGGTTCCATTTTTTGCTTATTTTCTTGATGGCTCCTGCATTCATTCATTGTGAAAGAAACCTGTAGCGTCAGACATGATCCAGATACAGAAAGCTCAGAAAAACAAGCTAGAAAACACACCCAAGAGGATTCATTAATTTACCATTCCCTAGACTAATGTTTCCAGGGGAGACCATTTCCTCTGGTAGGTAAGTCTCTCTGAAGACAGCAATAGAAGAGGCAAGAGAGGACGCCACAAGCTTAGAAAGCAAAGTAATGTGCTTCTCAACAAAGCCTCAGCTTACTTTTGTCCTTCAGTGCATTTAGGTGGGGCCCTTTGGACATCTCTTCCAATTTCTACTTTCTTTCATATACCTTTGATCATTGCTACCACAGGGAAACAGGAATAAAGAAATCTGAGCATCTAGACCCAAGACAAGTTGGATAAATAATGTGGAGCTAGAGGATTTCCTTCTATGCAACCTGTTAAACAGAAACAGTTTCTACTCATTCTCAGGTGTCAGAACTGGAAGACATCTTGATCCATAGGACACTAACCAAAGAATGTTAGCTGCCTGGCTACCCCCATGTCTGTCTCCAGAGAATATCTGCAGATTAAAGGAAGGGATAACAACCCTGACACCTGACATTATAAGAATTCCTCCCATACATACTTAACCAACTTAGCAAAACAAACCACTGAAAAACCACTTCTGCCCTCCTTTCCACTGAATACCCTCCATCTTCATGCAGCTGAAGTGGAGCAGAGGTGGTCAGGCAGCTAGCCCTCTCCTCACCTGAGGTAAGGAATTTTTCTCTAATTTAATTAAATGTGTAGCCTATTAGCATGTTATGGCAATATAAAGAGTCCAAATCAGAACTTAAAGGCTTAAAGTACAGTATCAGATTTGCTCTTGCTTTGAGTTCCATTGTCATTTCAACTGCTCTGTTTTAGGACTGATAAAGGCATGCTCAGACCCCACAAGTACATTCATCTGCTTTGTTGTAAATACACATTACTTTACACCGTAGGAATAGTACAACAGTTTTTGCAAAGATAACATTACATAATGCTTTAATAATAGAAATGTGTTATGTGCTCTACTAGAACATGTATGTGCAATGATGTACTAGTATATCATTGTGTGCTCCTTACTAGTACTTCTATGAGTGCTGATGTCATCTATCCATGAGTTCTGCTGTAGTGTTGCACCCAGTGTATTTCTGTAACAATATATCTGTGTATGGCCGTACTCAGACATCTATGTGTTTTTCCTTATGAGATCAAAGTCTAGAGCTGAGTCCTTCCTTTCCAGTAGTAATTTTAATACCCATCTTCAGAGGTTTTATTAAGATACAATTAGAAGTCAGGAATTTGAATATCAACAAGGAAAATTATTTATACATGAGAAAGATAGCATTTTATTATTGGAGTCTCAAGGCGCTAACATAAAAAATTAGGTCTATATTAATAAAATTTCATTGACTCATCTACTTCTAGATAACTAAAGATATCATTCAAAATGGAATTCTGGAACTCCACCTTGGGAAGTGGCTTCATTTTGGTGGGGATTCTGGATGACAGTGGCTCTCCTGAACTGCTCTGTGCTACAATCACAACCCTGTACACATTGGCTTTGACTAGCAATGGACTGCTGCTCCTGGTCATCACCATGGATGTGCGGCTCCATGTGCCCATGTACCTTCTACTTGGGCAGCTTTCTCTCATGGACCTCCTCCTGACATCAGTCATCACTCCCAAGGCTATCATGGATTTTCTGCTCAAAGACAACACTATCTCCTTTGGAGGTTGTGCCTTTCAGATGTTTCTAGAACTGGCACTGGGTGGTGCAGAGGACCTCCTTCTGGCCTTTATGGCCTATGACAGGTATGTGGCCATTTGTCACCCTCTGAATTACATGATCTTCATGAGGCCAAGTGTCTGCTGGTTTATGGTAGCCACATCATGGATCCTGGCATCCCTGATGGCCCTAGTATTTACCATCTACACTATGCAGTATCCCTTCTGCAAATCTAGGGAGATCAGACACCTGTTCTGTGAGATACCTCCTTTGCTGAAGCTGGCATGTGCAGATACATCCACATATGAGCTTATGGTTTATTTGACAGGTGTCTCTGTGTTGATTCTCCCTCTTGCTGTTATCCTAGCCTCTTATGTGCGAATTCTTTTCACTGTACTCCACATGCCCTCACATGAGGGCAGGAAGAAAGCCCTTGTCACCTGTTCTTCCCACCTGATTGTGGTTGGGATGTGGTATGGGGGTGCTTCCTTCATGTATGTTCTTCCCAGTCAATTCCACAGTCCCAAACAAGATAATGTCCTCTCTGTTTTCTATACTATTGTCACTCCAGCTCTGAATCCCCTCATCTATAGCCTGAGGAATAAGGAAGTCACTGGGGCTTTAAGGAGAATTCTTGGAAAATGGTTGTTGCCAACCTAATCTACTTTCTTGGTAGTTCTTTCTAATAGCCACCTTCTAAACTTCCTCCTCAGTCAGCTTTCAGCTATGAATTTAATACTCCTGGATAAATCAAGTCAATAAAAAGTGCATCTGTTTATTTTGAAGTACAGGAATTAAACTACTCTGGTTAAATACTGTGTAAATCTTTTCTCCATGAGATATTTTATGGGATAATTACCTAGATACAACCTCAATGCATATTTATGTGAATTATTCCACTTTGGATTCAGGCAATCATCTTAGTGAGTTATGTCACCGTAAAAGGTTATTTCACCTGTTGGCACACTGGGATGTTCTTCTCCTTATTATATGTTGGCCTTACAGAGTAATAATGGGATACTCAGGTTTGATGTCAGAGTACAAGGTTTGGAATTCAGTGCCTCATATTTGTGTATAGCTTTGAACGTGTACATAACCTTTTGAACCAAGGTCTTTAAGTTACAACCTCATTGTAATAAAACATCTATATCATAGCTTTGTTGTGAGGTCTGAGTAAGACAATACACATACACAATTTCAGTAAGGTCTCTGCAATATAATGATTACATCATCAATTTTAACAGTTATAATACAAAATTGCACTGAATATTGTAAGTGGTAGTACATGCCGTTACATTGGATGTTTTGTAAAATAACTAGTTCCTTTGTTGTTATTGAAAATGATCACTCCTTTGCTGGGATTTTGTCTAGCCTGAGCTTGTACAAGTCTTGTGCATGCTGTCAAAAACCACTGTGAGTTCCTATATGCAACTATTCTGTTGTTTCTGGAAAGCACTGTTTCTTTGTAATCATCTACCTCCCCTGCCTTCTACAGTTTTTCTACCCACTCTTCTACAATGATGTCTGAAGCTTTGGTGGAAGGGGTTGTGATAGAGATATTTCAATAAGGGCTGACCATTCCACATTCTCCTATTCTTTGTACCTTTGAAAATTGTGGGTCTTTGTGTTAATTGATATCTACTTCAAAACGAAGCTTCTCTGATGAGGTTAGAGAGGTGCATGGTCTATGGATATAAAGATAAGTCAGGTTAATGGTTTAATACTCTCTTCAGTAGAATGATAATAGTAGGTTCTCTCATAGGCCCGATGAGCAATCTAACAACAAATTCTTGATCCCAATAACTGTGCCATGTATGTGCTGAATTTTGTGGAGTGAGACTTAAGTCCTATCCAAAAGTTCTTGGTTACTTCCATGACTTTCATGCCACTATTGCACAGTAGGCATGTATCACCAGACAGGTCATTATCATAGCTCACAAGGTCTAAGACAAAGTAAGACTGATAGTTCCTTTCTTCCTGTTTTACTATTGTGTCACTAACAAAGCAAGAATAGAGAAGCTTCCAGGTCAATACCAGTTTGATTTCTACATGTTCTATGATCCAAGTATGTGGTGTCTTTAATAACCAATTGTTGGCCATAAAGTTCTGGAGAGTTACCAAGAGCAACAGCAATACCAAGCATAATGAGACCTTACTGGCCAATAACTACAATAAAGATAATCCATTCCTAGTATTGGGCTTTTTAATTTGTTAGTCTGTGGTGTTTAATAAGGTGGTACCTAATACTTGGATGCCTTAGGGTTTCTATTGCTGTGAAGAGACACAATGACCATGGCAACTCTCATAAAGGAAAGCACTTAATTGGGGATAGGTTACAGTTCAGAGGTCTAGTCCATTATCATCATGGCAGGAAGCATGGTAGTATGCAGGCAGATATGGTGCTAGAGAAATAACTGAGAGTTCTAGATCTGAATCTGAAGACATAGGAAGAGAGAGTCATACTGGGCCTGGCTTGAGCATCTGAAACCTCAGAGCCCACCCTATGACACATTTCCTCCAACAAGGCCACACCTCCTAATATACCACTCCCTATAGACTTATAGGGGCCATTTTCATTCAAACCACCACATTCCACTCCCTGAACTCCGTAGGCTTGCAGCCATATAGTAATGCAGAAATGCATTCAGACCAACTTTAAAATTCTCCATAGTCTACCACAGTCTCAACCTTGTTCAAAAGTCCAAAGTCTCTTCTGAGACTCATGCAATCTCCTAACTGTAATCATCTCTAAATAAAAATGACACAGAATATACATTACTGTCCCAAAAAGGAGGAAAAGGAGCATACTGAGGAAATACCAGGCCAAAGCAAAATGGAAAACCAGCTGGGAAAAAAAACACTAAACTCTGTGTCTCCATGCCCAATGTGTAAGCATTCTTCAGATCTCCAACTCTTTTCACCTGTGTTGACTGCAACACACTTTCTCTGAGGCTGATTCTACTCCCTGTTAGCAGCTTTCCTTGGCAGGTATCCTGCAATGCTGTTATCCCCAACATCTTAGGGTATCCAAGGCAATAAAGGACTCACCTTCACAGCTATACACAATGGCCTTTCCAGGTTTCCATGCAGTGACAACATTGCCACACACCTTGTCTCAGAAGCCTTTCTTAGTTGAGATGGGAGATTCCATAAGCCTTTTACAGCCTTGACTCTAAAGCCAGAACCACATGACTGAAGCTTCCAAATTCTGATTGCTGGGGCTGGAACATGACCCATTATTCAAATACATTTTTACTAGCCTTCTTTTTTCAATGATTTCCTTCACTGCCTAAGCTTGGCTGTCCTGGAACTCACTCTGTAGACCAGGCTGGGCTTGAACTTAGAGATCTGTCAGCCTCTGCATACTGAGTACTGGGATTAAAAATGTGTCCATCATGCCTAGCCCTAAGTTTTTCTTTAATTCCTTTTAACTTTTCTTTAATTCCTTTTCACACATTGGAAGCTTAGTTGAGAGGAGTCTTGCTACAAGGTCACTGCTCCCTTTATTCCACTTAGCATCAGGCTTTTCTTTAATTTGTTTACATTTCCCTGTGCTCCTTTTCTACTCAAACTGTACATTTTATATTTTTCTGTGCTAAGATTGCTTCTTATTAAACATCTGCATAAGACTGGCCACAATTAGCCACTAAATTCAGTCAATGATAGGTTGTTTGGAAATGTCCTCTCCAAAGCTGTTAATCCATAACTCTTCAGTTTGTCCTGAGGCAGATATTTCAGACAATGGCAGATGGAAACACATTCTTCACAAGAAAGATCTCCTCTGAAACCTGTTGAGCCAGGCCTCCACAGTTCTGATCAACCTCAGTACCACTGTCTTCCTAATAGTTGCTGACTAAGCCCCACTTAATGCATTCAACTACTTTTCTAATCCAAAGTCCCAAAATCCACAGTCCTCCAAACAAAAGCATGGTCAGGCCTATCATAGCAATACCCTAGTCCCTGGTACAAACTTCTATCTTAGTTAGGGTTTCTATTGCATTTCAGAGGTTAGTTCATTATCATAATGACACGAATCAGGCTGGTGTGCAGGTAGAAATGGTGCTGGGGAAAAAACTGTGAGTTCTACATCTCAGTTCAAAGACAACATGAAGAGAGAGTCACACTAGGCCTAGCTTGAACATCTGAAACCTCAAATCCCTCCCCCAGTGACATACTTCCTCCAACAAGGTCACACCTACTCCATCAAGGCAAAACCTCCTAGTAGTGTCACTCTCTATGATGAGCCTATGGGGGCTTTCATGTCATATCCAAGAATCCATGGATAATGACATGGAGACTTATTACTAATTATGAAAGCTAGGCCTTAGCTTAGGTTTGTTTCTAACTAGCTCTTATAACTTAAATTAACCCATTTCTATTAATCTACATGCTGTCACATGGCTCATGGCTTTTACTTTTCCTCCTGCATGACCTGCTTCCTCTGCATGATGGCTCTGCCTTTCTTCCTCTCATAGTCCTCTGTCCCCAGAAGTCCCACCTAAACATTCAGCTCTTTATTAAACCTATCACAGTGACACGTTTCCATATAGTGTAAAGGAATATTCCACAATATTTCTCCATTTTTGTCTAAATAAAAGAAAAGGTTTTAATTCTACCATAATAAAACTATACACGATAATAAGAACAATTATCATATAAGAATTACATTCACAATGTCTAGTCCATTTATATTTGGCATATTTGGAGAAAATATTTTATTATCTATCTTATCTTGATGAATTTAAAGCTTTATACTTAAATCATTTTCTATCACAACTTGTACTACCATCTTAAAATTATCTTTTTAGACCTTAAAACATTTTCTTAGAATAACAATTTAGGCTTTTATGTCTCTCAATCTTGTATATTTTATACCTCTCTTATGAATTTCTTTTATGAATTTGGTAACAAAGAAAACAATACCTATAACTATCTCATCTTCAACTCTGTCAGAGACCCAAGAAGGACTCAGAGGCTGAATATTAATTGTAAATTCTCAGCCAATAGCTCAGGCTTGTTACTATCTAGCTCTTACATTAGAATTAACTAATATTTCTATTTATACTTTGCCACATGGTGGTACCTTTATTAGCATGGCATGTTCATCTCCTGCTCACTCTGCATCTGGATGGTGAGTACTGACTCCACCTTTCTCCTTGCCATCATCCTTAGTATGGTCACCCGGTCAATACTTCCTGCCTGGCTACTGGCCCACCAGCATTTTATTAAACCAATTTGAGTAATAAATCTTTATGGTGTACAAGAGGATTATTCCATAGCATTTCCCCCTTTTTATCTAATTAAAAAGTAGGGTTTTAACTTCAACATAATAAGATTATATACAACAAAAAACAGTTCTCAAGTAAGAATTACAATTACAATATCCAGGGGTCTCCCTTGATCAAACCTGAATTTTCTTTACCCAAAATGAATCCATAGCCTCTTATTTCCTATGGAAATAAAAGCAGAATCTCTTTCCCAAACTAACCTATCTTTTGACTTAAATTTTGAATTCAAGATATTTTCAAAATATATAGGTTGGTTTAATCTAGCAGCTTTCATAATCAAATGTCTTTAGCAGTTATCACTTGCTCATTGATAGTAAAAAAAAAATTAAAGACAACACAATAACATACAGAATCCAGACTCTCTGTGTATTTCCCATCTTTATGTTGTAGTCCATAGGCTAAAAGGATAGATTATTAAATCTACTTTTAAAGAGCAACAACTTGTTAAAATGTTT